GATCGTGTCCTCGCGCTGCCGGACGTTGTGCTCGATCCGCGCGTTGTAGGCGACCAACACCCGGTCGTCCGCCGGGCGCGCCGCGGCGGCCGGCTCCATGTCCTGCAGCCGCCGCTTGAGCGCGAAGAGCTCGCGGCGCTCGTAGTCGTTGCAGGCGCGGACGGCGGCCTCGCGCTCGCGCTCGAGGAGCTCGCCAAACGCGGCCACCTCGGACGGCGCGCGCTCCCAGCGCAGGACCGCCGTGTTCTCCGTGAAGTGCCGCACGAGAACTTTCATCGGCTGCAGCGTCAGCACCGAGACCCGGTTCGAGGGCATCGACATGTGGTGGTTATCGCTCAGGGAGCAGACGCTGGCGGAGTAGAGCGTGTTCGCCCGCAGCTTCGCCACACACGCGCACCAGGTCTCGCGGGAGAAGGTGAAGTCCTGCTCGAAGGCCTCGCCGATCGCGCGGACGTTCAGGCGGTACTGCCGCACGCGGTAGGTCTCGCAGACGACGGAGCCCAACGCGGTGGGGAGGGTCTCGAGCGGCTCGTCGTCGTCGCGCTCGCTGCCGGGGTCGGTGCTCGGCGCGCTCGAGTCCATCTCGCTTTTGAACTCCGAAACGGAGGAGTAGAGCGGGTGGTCGAGCCGGATCAACTTCGCCTTCTCGCCGTCGGCGAGCGTCGCGTCCGCGGAGGGTTTGACCCACTTCGGCGTCGGCCGCCGCCACGCGATGTAGAAGTTCGACTCATAGACCGAGCACACCGTCAGCACGAGGCGGCCGTGGGTCGCGAACCGCACCGTCGAGCTCCAGAGCCCGAAGAACCCGCCGGCAAACCGCGCGCGCGCGCGAACGGCGTAGACCGAATCGTGCACGAGATGCGCGATGTGAAAGGAGTGGTCCGAGCCGGGCAACACCTCCGTCATGTCCAGCGCGAGGGGGCCGCTGTAGGTCCGCACCGCGTCCTCGGCAAGCCGCACGACGTGCAGCTCGTACGCGGCGACGGCGGTGGTGAGGGCGGGGTTAATACTGCCGGTCGCCAAGCGATCGCGGAATTCGGCAAAAACGCCAACGTCGAGGGCCTCGGGCGGCTGCCCGTCGACGCCCAGGGCGTCCGCGCGGTGCCCGCGCTGCCATTCCACCAGCCCGTACTCCTCCCCGATCTCCACCAGGCGGATTTGCAGGGGCGTGATGGACTGGACGAACTGCGGCCGCGAGGAGTCGCCCCAGGCGCCGGGGATCGGCTTGCCGTCCTCGCCCAGCACCTGCTCTCGGACCCGCACGGCGTAGCGCGTCCCGGGGGCGAGGTTGCTGAGCCGCTGCGAGGGCTGCGTCGTTTCGTAGACCCGCGCGCCGTCCACCAGCGGCTCCTCGCGCTCGTCGAAGGGCCGCTCCGTCCGCAGCGGGCGAATCGAGACCTGATAATTGTGAATCGCGGCGGCGGACGGGAAGCACACCAGCCCCGGCGCCTCCGCGTCGTAGCCCGGGCGCTGCCAGCTGAGGCTGATGAAGTCCTCCCCGATCGACTCCACCTGCGTCTCGAGCAGCGGAAAGGCGCTCACCGCCAGCGGCGCGCTCCAATGGCCCCACTCCTCCTCGTTTTGCCGCCCCCGCACCGAGATTAAGTAGCCCGCGCCGGGGATCAGGTTGCGAATGCAAAGACTCGTCGTGGCGCCGTCCTCCGTCCGCACGCCGGATCGGCCGTTCTCGAAGTCGTCGCCGCGCCCGACGCTCGCGTCGATGGACTGGCACTGAATGCGAATCTGCCATTGCGTAATGAGATGGTCCTCGACAAGCGTGCGGTCCGCCTCGTCGTCTTCTTCCTCCTCCTCCTCTTCTTCTTCGTCGTCCCCCCCCTCCGCCGCCGCCTCCTCCTCCTCCTCTTCGGCCGCCGCTCGCTCGCCCTCGGAGGCGTAGACCTCCGTGGGGCTGACGTCCGAGGAGGTCAGCATCATCGGATCGGGCGGGTTCACCGCGCCGTCGGCGGCCTCGACGCCGGGGCGGAGGACCTTCACGAGGGCGTCCGTCGAGGCGGCCTCCAACCTCTCCCGCCCGCCCTCCCGCCCCCACTCGACCTGCACGAACGACTCCCCGACCTGCAGAAGCCCGACTTTGATCTCGTCCAACGTGACGAAGCGCACGCGATCGCTCCAGAGCCCCCACTGGTCGTACGTATCCCTCGCGCAGACCTCGACGGCGTAGAGCGTCGCGAGGTCCAGCCCGTCCAGCGTGCAGGACTGCGCCTTCCACGTCGTCGACTGACTGCTGACGACCGCCCCGTGGCGGTCCAACACCCGGACTTGGTAGCCGCTGATCGCCTCCTCGACCTGCCAAACCGCGGCGTCGGCGTCGGGCGCCATCGCCGGGTCCCACACCCCCCGCCGCCAACTCACGCGGATGTAGTCCTCGCCGATGTACTCGACGCGGAGCTGCAGCTTGGGGAGGGTGCGCATGCGGACCTCGTCATTCCAGAACCCCCAGACCCCCTCGAAGCCCTTGCAACACATCTGCATGCGGTACTCCGACGACGGCAGGAGGTTCAGCAGCCGGTACGAGCTGATCGTCGGCGCAAGGTCGAAGATCATCGGCAGAGGGTCCCCCACCCGCTGGACTTTGAGGCGGAACTGCTGCACGACGTCCTCGCACTCCTCGATGGGCAGGTGGAGCTCGCGGCGGAGCTTGGCCGGCAGCGCCGTGGGGAGGTGGCGGCGCCACTGGAGCATCGCGAAGTGCTCGCCGGTGCTCTCGAAGGTCACCCGCATCCGGGTCTGGGTCCGAAACGCCTTGGAGGACCACAGCCCCCACGCCTCCGTCTCCGTGAACTGCTCGCGGACGTGGATGACGTAAACGGTATCGGGCAGGAGCCCGCGGAAAAAGAGCGCGTTCGTGCTCATGGACTTCCCATAGCGGAAGTAGCCCTCCGCGCCGACGATGCTGACCTCGTACTGCTGGGCGGCGATGTGGACGTTGAACTGGGTGTCGGTATCGGGCGTCGCGCCGAGGTCGGTGCTGCGCGCCCACGACACCCAAAGCGCGTCCTCCGAGACGTGCT